GATGATGATGTTGTTCATTGTTGTTGTTGTGTCTTGTGTGATGATGAAGATTGTGTTCTGTTCTGCTCTCAGTCATGAAGTGTTAAACTCACAGCACTATAAACACTCTCAGAGCACTGAAGCATGTGCTGACGATGCAAAAAAGTGGGCAGGATTTACAACAGCTTGAGCTGCTAACAAACTCATATACACTACATGTAAGGGAAGGTGAACTGAATTTGGAGTCGAATATCAAATTTATTAAAAAAAAAAAAAGAATATAATAACAAAAACATCTTGCTATGCTATCTGGGAAATCGTCTCAGGTTACTTATGTAACCATGGTTCCCTGAGTAGGGAACGAGACACTGCGTCCTCTAGGTTTCTTGCCATGCTGCGGATGCAAGCTTCAGACGAAGAAGTGAATGATGTGTAGCTCCCGGCGCTTATTTATACTATAGTCGCACCGGTAGTGACGTAATGGCTGTCGCCGGCGTGTGTGTTGTTGGTGTTTTTTCAATGTATGCTTCTGACACGGGTCACGACGAGGCGTTCCCCATAGCGACCCCTAGAGGACGCAGTGTCTCGTTCCCTACTCAGGGAACCATGGTTACATAAGTAACCTGAGACGTTTTTATTTAGTTATATTTATTGGCTTTTATATGAGATAAATTAGCCCAAATTCTCATGATTCTGACAGAAAATAAACAGAACCTATTCTACCACAATAACATCATAAGCTATAATCATTAGAAAAGATGGCTTGATGGTGTCCGCGTCTGTTTGACTACATGTCATTAACTAACGGCATGGTTTTTAGGCTAATGCACATTTTTTTCTGCCATATGGATATTACCTTGACTTAGTCACCACTGATAAGCTACTAAATATAATGCATAAACTTTAATACATTTTCTGTAAAGCTGCTTTGCAACGATTTGTATAGTGAATAGCGTTATACAAATAAACTTGAATTGACATTCAGGGTGAAGACTGGATGTTAAATATCTGACAGTGTTGATGAAGCAGCCTTTTGTTCTTTAATGCGTCTGATTATTGAGTTGTGCTCTGAAGACAAGTCTTGATAAACTAGAGAACATCGAATCACGTGATTCAGATCTCGGGGCGCGTGGGTGTGACGCGGTCACGCGGGGATCAGAGCAGCGGTCACGCGCTCCGCCGCTATTTAAACTCCTCCGCCGAGAACAGATTCATCAAACATAACCTGACTAATTACAGATCTGACCGACTGCTGGTGTTTGGAGACGATGCGGGAACTTTTGCTGTAGTTTTTGGAGACCACTCAGAACGCTGTTGATTAAGTTTGATTTATGAAAACTATTTTCGAGGCGATCTGCTGGATGTTAAATATCTGACAGTGTTGATGAAGCAGCCTTTTGTTCTTTAATGCGTCTGATTATTGAGTTGTGCTCTGAAGACAAGTCTTGATAAACTAGAGAACATCGGATCACGTGATTCAGATCTCGGGGCGCGTGGGTGTGACGCGGTCACGCGGGGATCAGAGCAGCGGTCACGCGCTCCGCCGCTATTTAAACTCCTCCGCCGAGAACAGATTCATCAAATATAACCTGACTAATTACAGATCTGACCGACTGCTGGTGTTTGGAGACCACTCAGAACGCTGTTGATTAAGTTTGATTTATGAAAACTGTTTTCGAGGCGATCTGGAGATTTCTTGGAGACTATTTGGATATTATTGATTGCTTTGAGATTTCCCGCCGGTTTTGGTCATGATGCGGAGATCATGCGGAGGAATGCTGCTGCTCGTGCACGCGCTGGGGCTCGTTCGTGCTCAGTTCCCGCGCGCGTGCGTGACGCCGGAGGGCCTCGGGAGCGCGCAGTGCTGCCCATCCCCGTCCGCTCTGGAGAGTGACCCGTGCGGCGCGCGCTCCGGGCGCGGGCGGTGCGTGGACGTGCGCGCGGATGCGCGTGCACACGGCCCGCAGTACCCGTATGATGGGCGCGACGATCGCGAGCGCTGGCCGCGGCGCTTCTTCACGCGCACGTGCCGCTGCAGCGGGAACTTCGGCGGCTTCGACTGCGGCGGCTGCGCGCACGGATTCACCGGAGACGCGTGCGAGCGGCGCGTGCCCGTGGGTCAGAACTCTCAATAAATTCATTTAGTTACTTCTAAAATGTAACTAAAACTTCTATTTATTGTAACTTACATTTTATTTCGTATTTATACAGTTTATTTTTTATATCTCGATTCTTTCTCAGTCAAGAATGTCTCTTAAAATGTTTAATTAATTCAGTACTATCTATTTAATTAATTAATCTATTAATATTTCATTAATGTAATCTATATTATGAATTAATCAATGATATAGCTCATTTTCCCCGCCAGGATTAAAAACAACATCTAAAGTAATCAATTATAAAATAATTTGTATTAGATTTTGTATGTATATACTGTATTTCTTATATCTCTAAAACATTAGTTTTTTCCTCCCTGTCTGGAATGTCGCTTAAACTGTTTAATTCTGCACAAATGAGTGAATAAACAAATAAACAAACAGCTGTCTGTCTATCATCAGTCAGGAGGAATGTGATGCAGCTGCGCGCGGAGGAGAAGCGCGCCTTCGTGAACGCGCTCGATCAGGCCAAGCGCGCGCCGCACCCGGACATCGTGATCGCGCCCCGCTGGTACTCCGAGATCTTGGGGCCGGACAACAGCACGACGCAGTTCCAGAACATCAGCATCTATAACCTGTTCGTGTGGACGCATTATTACTCGGTCAGCAAGACGTTCCTCGGGGCCGGGCAGGACAGCTTCGGCGGAGTGGACTTCAGTCACGAGGGCCCCGGGTTCCTCACCTGGCACCGGTACCATCTACTGCAGCTGGAGCGAGACATGCAGGTGCCCTGCTCTTTCAACTGTCTCTAAACTGTTCATGCTGACATTTCCCTTTTGACTGGCTTCAATGTGTGATTAAACAATTCCAATCTCGTAATGCTTTCAGTGTAGATGCCATCGATCCTGGAGATCAGTACTCCGATACACAGCAGTCCTTGCTCACACTTTATAACCATTATATGTGATCATAATCAGAGTAATGGAGAGGAAGACACAGATTCCACCCTTTTTATGCAGAACATGTTATTGAGTGTGTAACGAGCCTGGCTTAACATCTCACACAAAGACTCGTCTGTCTCCAGAGCTAAAGCGTTCACAGTGTGTTTGAGTGTCTCACCACAGTCCAGTGTGTTTCCAAAGAAATAGTTCAACAAAAATTAAATGTAGCATTGCATCAGTGTCTCAGCAATGGATGCTCTGCAGTGAATGGGTGCCGTCAGAATGAGAGCTGATAAAAACATCACGAGTAATCCACAGCACTCCAGTCCATCAGTTAACATCTGGAGAAGACAAAAACTGAAACAAATCCAGCATTAAGACGTTTTTATACGAGTCTATAATCCATAATAACTCTTCCTCCAGTGAAAAAGTGTTCTGGTGTGAATCAGGAGAGAAATCTGCACAGATCAAGCAGCGTTTAAACAGCTCTAAACAAATATGTGGCTGGATTTTGATCTGATAGACAACAGCAGATGCACTTTTGTTACTAGACGAAGCATGAAATTGTGATGTTTTTATCAGCTGTTTGGACTCTCATTCTGACGGCACCCATTCACTGCAGAGCATCCATTGCTGAGACACTGATGCAATGCTGCATTTCTACAAATCCACATTTTGGATATACCTAACCAGCATATTCTGGATTTTTTATCTTTGATTGCCTTCATTATCAAAGATACAGATGTATTTTCTCAGGCTGAGTGAGATGGCGGGATGTTTCTGCATCAGGATCTCTCAGCTGTAAATCTCTAGTTGCTGTGACGTGTCTCTCTCAGGACATGTTAGGAGATCCGAGCTTCGCTCTGCCGTACTGGAACTTCGCCATCGGCGGCAGCGAGTGTGACATCTGCACAGACGATCTGATGGGCGCCCGCAGCTCCTTCGACAGCAGCTCCATCAGCTCCATCAGCCCCAACTCCGTCTTCTCACGCTGGAGGGTCATCTGTGAGAGCGTGGAGGAGTACGACACGCTGGGGACCATCTGCAACAGTAATACAGCCCTACCTTACAGTAGGATCCTTGTTTTCCAGTAAAAACATCTAAACAATTTACAGGCAAGACGAGACAGGCAAAACCAGTGTGTAAGAAGAATCTCAAATGTGTTTGCTATGTATCCAAATACAAGGATTACATGCCGAGATACTATAGCAGTCTTCTTTTATTCTTATAAAGTGCAAAAAGTGCTTAGTACATGTTAATATTTAATATGCACTGAGCACTTTTTTGCATGCAATCCTTGTATTTGGATACATAGCAAACAAATGTCACGAATTTAGATTTTTTGCTCTTTGCTGAATTCTATTATTGACTTGAAATCATGTTACAGGAACCAAGCGCAAGATCCTCCTTTTTTTCATTTTTAAACCAGTGTGTTTCCATGCAGTGCGACTCTCTTGCTTCCATAACATATGTCTTTTTTCAGACTAGTGTAAATAAAACACAAATAAGTGTTTGTTTAATTGCACTTTATTTACTTTTTTGCATCTGTAGATTTTAATCTTTAAAGGGTATTTTTCTCTTACAAACACGACTTTACAGTTTTATTCCTCTCTCTATGTTCTGAAGGTTTGCTCATATTTCACTCACACTGATTTATACATTTCACTCCTAAAAACATGGTGAAAATGTGTTTGTTTTCTGTCTGTTGACAGTATTTTCTGATTTATGGAGTGATAAAAATAGAAATCCAAATTCCCCTCTAGAAAAACCTTTAACTCTAATTAAAACCTCTCTACAATAAGTCCAGGAACATACATTAGATTACATATATAACCTGTTGTAACCTCAGTATGTTTAGTGAATGTTGATGATAGATCAGTATGTGTCTGATTGTACAGTAAAGCTGCACGATTCTGGATAAATTGAGAATCAAATATATATATTTTTTTGTCTCAAATAGAGATCACAATTCTCCCACGATTCTGAACGAAACAAAACAATGTGTGAAAAAATATTAATTGCTGCAGTCTATTTAAAAGTGTTTAATTAATTATAATTATTAAACATTTTAATATATGATATATGTATTTAAATTATAATATATTTAATACACCAATTTTTAGTATTAAAATTATGAAAAAGTGGATTGAATGAATCTCTTGAATGAATGATTCAATGACAACGCATTTTTGAACAGTCACCTGTCGCCACCTAGTGGCAAAACAATGCAATCGACACGCACATTATTTGATGCGCCAGTTACTTTTTTTCAAAATTACTCTATTTTGATCGCTACCATAGACATCAATGTTTATATCCAAACCGAACTATATCCGATGATTTTTCAAATGTTTAATAGACATGGGCGAATCGTTGTCATTTAGAGATTGGTGTTTGAATCGATTAATCGTGCAGCTCTACTGTACAGTGATCAGTCAGTCTTGTAATGTGTGATCGGTGTGTTTGTGAGGTTCGGAGAGCAGTCCCATCCGCAGGAACCCCGCCGGTAACGTGGCCCGTCCCATGGTGCAGCGGCTGCCCGAGCCGCAGGACGTGGCGGCGTGTTTGGAGCTGACCGCCTTCGACTCTCTGCCCTTCTACTCCACCTCCTCCGACAGCTTCAGGAACTCCATCGAGGGTGAGGCACGCTTTCAGCTGCAGCCGCGCTATGGAAGGCTGAATGGTTAAAAAACACGTGAATTTTAACATAACAACACGTATTTAACGCGTATTATACACTCATTTCATGCATTAAATATGTGTTGTTTATGCGTTAAAAATCAGTGCGTTAAATATTAGGGCTAGGAAAGTCAATGCATCGTGAATCGAGAAATGATTCAGCAGCGATTCTGAGATTTTCCGAATGCCTCGCGATTCTTTCTCGAGTCGATTCTGAGCTTAGTTTTGAACAGCAGATGGCGCTGCATGCTTTAGAAACAACAACAACAACAATAATAATAATAATAATACATTTTATTTATAACGCACTTTATATTCACTCAGAATCCCAAAGTGCTACAGATTAAAAACAAGAAAAAATATTAAGAATCATTCAAAGGCTTTGCTAAAAAGGTAGGTTTTGAGGCCACGTTTAAAAGCATCGACAGTCTGTGGAGTCCGTAGATGGTCAGGGAGAGCATTCCACAAACCCGGAGCAGCGGAGCAGAAAGCCCGATCTCCCATAGTGCGAAGCTTAGTCCTGGGAAGGGTTTAATAGACATGTTGATGCAGAACGGAGTGTACGTTTAGAAGTCCTGAATGAAACAGAAAGCCAGTGTAGTGATTTGAGAATGGGGGTGATGTGATCGTATTTGCGTACCCTCATCAGGATCCTAGCAGCACTGTTCTGAATGTACTGCAATTTCAGTAGGCTTTTGCCAGGGATCCCGATGAGGAGCGCATTACAGTAGTCCAGCCTGGAGGAGACAAAGGCATGGACAAGCTTTTCCGCATCTGCAAGAGTGAGCATAGGACGAAGTCTAGCGATATTCCTAAGATGGAAAAAGGAAGTCTTGCACAGATGTTTAACATGAGCCTCAAAGGTGACATGAGAGTCCATTCTAACAACGTTTAGAAGTCCTGAATGAAACAGGAAGCCAGTGTAGTGATTTGAGAATGGGGGTGATGTGATCGTATTTGCGTACCCTCATCAGGATCCTAGCAGCGCTGTTCTGAATGCACTGCAATTTCTGTACGCTTTTGCCAGGGATATTAAAATCTCCAAGTATTAAAATATTAGCAGTGGTAGAGCAAAGTGTTGTAAGAAGGTCATGAATCTCTGAAATGAACACTGAGTTTGGTTTAGGGGGCCGGTAAATGAGAAGTATTGTTATAGGGAAAGGAGGTTTACATTTAAATGCAAGACGAGGACAGCGTTGGCAAAGGGAGGGGGCATAGCTCTGCTTGCTGTCGATATATTACAGCTAGGCCACCACCTCGACCAGTAGTGCGGGCTTTCTCCAGATAGCTGTAACCTGGGGGGCAGACTTCATTTAATGTTGAGTAGACCTCTGGTTGATGCCATGTTTCTGTTATGCACATAAAGTCCAAACCCTTTTCCATGATGTGGTCTTGTATAAAGGATGACTTATTTGTGAGGGAGTGTGCATTAAACAGTTCCATTTTGAGCATTGGTGAAGTAATGAATCTCTGTAGAGGCCGTAGTACACTGAAATCCACTCCATGTTTTATGTCCTGCTCGGTGTAAAGCGATCTCATGTTTTTTCCCGTTAAGGCTGATGGTAAACAAACTTTTGACGGGAACTTCTGTGGATGTAACGCGGTCAGCGCAGGAGACAGCCTTCAATTTAGTAACAGTCTGTACAAAACAAAACTTAAGTAGATGACTTTCAGACGACTGTTCAGACAAAAAAAAAGAAGCGGTGGAGAAGCGGCGAACAGCAAAACACCAGCGTCTTCTCCCGACTCAATACTCTTCGTGATTCTAGGACACAGCCGTACTCTGCTTTTTTCCCTGATCCTTACACACACTTGAACCTAAAATAATCATTCATAAAATTTGAAAAGGTTGAAGTGAATTACAAGGGTGTTCACAGTGGGCTGTGTTTACATTAATCTTGCGTCATAAAAGCATTCTGAGCCGAGGCGAAATTACTCAGCCGAATGCACAAGCGCTCTTTAGCTCTTCTTCATGAGCATTTGAGTGTGTGGATACAAACTAGAGTAGAGCGCCATCTGCTGTTAAAATCTAAGCTCAGAATCAATTCCAGAGAGAATCGTGATGCATTCGGAAGATCTCAGAATCGATCCACGAATTCTGCATCGATTTATCGTCGCAGCCCTATTAAATATGCACAAACAACACATGTTTAACGTGTGAAATACGCATATAATAGGCGTTAAAGGTGCACTAAGCAATATTTGAAAAATGCTTTTGACCACAGTGTTGGACTGAGTCCGAAAAAAAACACTTGCAGTTATTAAATTGCCTAACGTGTGAAATACGCATATAATAGGCGTTAAAGGTGCACTAAGCAATATTTGAAAAACGCTTTTGACCACAGTGTTGGACTGAGTCCGAAAAAAACACTTGCAGTTATTAAATTGCAATTATTAAAAAGTATTAGTAAAGCAGTGGAGTGATTGAGTGTAGTGGTCAGGTTTTTATTTTTTTTCCCATTTTTGTAAGGTCAGACTAATTCATTTATTTTAGTTATATATAAAAAACTGCAAGCAAATTGCAAGCACTGTTTACACCTGATATTAATGGTTAGGTGACAATTGTTTATTATTATTTTATATTTTATTATTATTATTATTTAGTTAGTTTATTATTTATTTCGTTAGGCTAACTGAGACTTGTCATAGCACTTGCATATCATTGCTCTTTTGTTGATTTTAATTTTGCTTCCATTGTTCTCATTTGTAAGTCTCTTTGGATAAAAGTGTCTGCTAAATGACTAAATGTAAATGTAAATATTAGCAGATCGACTATAGATAGAGAGAGATGCCAGATAAAATAAGAGGAACATAACGGAGGAACAAAACATTAAAAAGCAGGGTCACGATCAGGCATGAGGTTGGACCCACGTAAATATCGAAGCAACGTCATCCTCCACGTGAAATGGAGCTATTCAAGTGTTAAAACACACAGTACTACCAAACACATTAGACCTGAATTACCAAAGTAACACACATCGCTTTCACCTATTAAAGACTTCCGCCATCATCATTGCCGGGTGTTACAATGACCGGCTGGAGTGCCCTGGTTGTCCACTAGAGGGCACTCCATCCCAGACTTCTACCACTCCATCAAGGACTTCATTTCCCATAATCCTTTACCCGGACTCATCAGCACTCATTGTTTGCACCTGTTTCTCATTTACCCTGTCTGCTCACCCCATGAAAGTCTGGTTCAGTTTGTCATTCATTGCGAAGTCTTGTATGTGTTAGTGATGCAAAGTCCGATTCATTTCCGCGAACTGGTACTTTTCGGACAGATCGGCTCATTGAACCGGTTCAGAAAGCCGATTCATCGATTCCTGACGTCATCAAGCAATAACGTCTCTATGCATTTCTTTTCTAACAACTCAGTGCAATGTTGTATCAATGAAAAATTCAAATAAGTCATTTGTGTCAACACATATTGAAACATTAAAAAATAAAGTTATTTGTGTGAAAGCATATTGCTGATTATTACCATATAATTCACTTAAGTTTATGGTGTTTGTGGTCACCGTTTCATTCGCGGATCCTCATGATGACCAATATTGACTAGCCTACAACTCTGAAAAGACCTCTGCAAACTTCGACAGTTGGTTGAACCGGCTCATTCGGTTATTGTTGAGTCGGACGTGCTACTTCGGCTGTGTGTCCTGCGTCATCAGCCCGGAACTAAAGTTAGATTCAGTTCGATTTGTGAACCGGCTCGACCGGTTACTTCCTGAGAACCGGCTCAAAAGAACGATTCGTTCAAGAACCTAACATCACTAGTATGTGTCATTACTGCAGTTCTAGCCTTGTTTCCTGATGCCTTCCGTGTCTTGGTTCCTGGTCTTATTACGCTGCTCGTTTCTGGATTACCCTTTTGCCTGTGATTTTGCCCTGTTGCCTTTGTTTGGACAGATTGCCTGTGTTTTGACCTTTGCCTGTTTCTAGACTCTGGATTACACCTTTAATAAAATACTGCATCTGGATCCTCAGCCTTCGTGTCCTCGAGTAGTTCATGACACCAGGGTTGTGTACGTACATGTGGGGCGTAGATATCCAAATAGGGGCGAGGTCCTGTCGGGGTATGGGCGTGTTTGTTTGGTGCTTTCAAATATCAACATCGTTTGGCAACATTCGCTTAGTGCACCTTTAAATACACGCATTTTACATGTTGTGGACGTGTTACAATTCACGTGTTTGAATCATTTGGCCTTCCGTACGCGCCGGATTTCTGTGGTCTGATCGCGTGTGCTGTTGTCTTGTCAGGTTACAGTGCTCCTCAGGGGAACTACGACCCCGCGGTACGCAGCCTGCACAACCTGGCGCACCTGTTCCTGAACGGGACGGGCGGACAGACGCACCTGTCGCCCAACGACCCCATATTCGTGCTGCTGCACACCTTCACCGACGCTGTGTTCGACGAGTGGCTGCGCAGACACGCTCCTGGTAAACCCGCCTCCCTCCGCTCAGTGTGTTTAATGTGTTTGTACATAAAGTATATTCTGTTCTATTCTATCGTGTCTCTCCAGATGCTTCCATCTACCCGCTGGAAAACACGCCCATCGGACACAACCGAGAGTTCAACATGGTGCCCTTCTGGCCACCGGTGACCAACGCAGAGATGTTCGTGACGGCGGCCGAAAACCTGGGATACTCCTATGAGGCCGAGTGGCCCGGTTGGCGGCATTCTTCTTCTGCTTATTATTTATATATATATATATATATTTATATAATATCATATCATTATATATTATATAATATTATTAATATTACTTAAAAGGGTCAGTGGATGCCCATTTTCCACAAGTTGATATGATTCTTTAGGGTCTTAATAAAAAGTCTATAACATAATTTCTCAATGGTAGTGTAAAACAACACCTTCTTTACCCGGTCAAAAACAGCTCTGTTCATTGTCTACATCTGCTCCGGCGGTGAAACAATGGCGGACTGATGACAGCTCACTCAGGGCGGAGCTAAGGTAAAACGCTAGTGTCAATCAACAATCGTGGGAGGGACCTGGGTCTGAGTGACGTCACACAGACAAGAAGCTGAGATCGGCTTGATCTGAGAAAGGGGATATTATGTATAGGGATTAAAAAAAAAAAAAAAAACACTGGGTGGATTTTTATCATTTTAGGGTGGATGTGTACAAACACTGCCAAAACACATTTATTCAAACAACATGTACAAGTGCATTTCGCATCCGATGACCCCTTTAACATAATAATATGACCAGTTAACACTGGCTGTGTTTTGTAGTTTTAGAGCTGCTGATGTGACTCTCTCTCTCTCTCTCTCTCGCAGCTCGTCCACTCACACCGACGCAGATCGTCACCGTTGCCGTGGTTGCTGCACTCATCGTCGTGGCGATTATTTTCGCCGCCAGCACGTGTGCGGTTCGTTCGCGCGCGTACAGGACTGAGGGACGGCAGCCGTTGCTAGGAGACCAGTATCAGCGCTATGACGACCACGACAAAACACAGTCTGTCGTATAAACACTTATACAGCATATAAACGTGTAATATTATCATGCACCTTTCTGAGTGACTGGTACAAACAGGTGCTTTTTTGAATATCACATACAGTATATTGTCCCCTAATAACACTGAAATAGAAATAGAGTTTGACCATCAGTATTTCATTACAGCTGTTTAAAAAGATATATCTTTGGACTTTATGTAAAAGTTTAATTATGAATAATATAAAGTCTAATGGTGAAAATATTGCAATAAACCAACAAACTGTTTCCCATGTCGTTCCTCCGTTCACCGCTAGATGGCGCTGCGGTTTCACTGCTGTTCACACTTGAATGAATGAAGCATTTATATAGCGCTTTATTGTGTATTTCTGTACACCCAAAGCGCTTTACAGTCATGCGGGGGGTCTCTCCTCAACCACCACCAGTGTGCAGCATCCACTTCATAATGTTCACTTAAAATACTTTTATTTTTTTTTCACATTTAACAGAGCGACTTTTACAAAACACGACTGGCCTGTATTTAAATGTGTTCTCTGAGAATATTTCACAGACTGATTCTCATAATAAGACGATAATGAAGCAGTTTGAAGTATGCGCTTGTCTGATGTTCCTCGGTTCCCCGCGAGATGGCGCAGGTGTTCCACTGCTGTTCACCAGGTGATCGTGTTCTTCTGTACAAGCACACTAACCCACAGTACAGAGCTGCGGCGTTTACAGCAGTACAGAGAGCTGTTCGCATCCACTGTTTCTTCAGCATGTTGCGGAGCGTGTCTGAATAACGCGGGAAGAGCGTGCTGCGCATGCGCCGCCTGATGATGACGACGAGGGCGGGGTGTCACCTGTGCGTGCGCGCGCCCCGTACGTCAGATCCGAGGCGCACCGAGGAACGGATCCGCGCGCGTTACCGGAGTAATCCCGCGATTCCGAGCCTCAGAAGATCCGGGTCCTCGTCCCCGAGGGTCTGACGTCATGCTCCGGTAGGATCTGGATTATTGATGAGAGTACAGAGCTGCGGCGTTTTTTACAGCAGTACAGGCTGTTCGATACGAACACTGTTTCTTCAGCATGTTGCGGAGCGTGTCTGAATAACGCGGGAAGAGCGTGCTGCGCATGCGCCGCCTGATGATGACGACGAGGGCGGGGTGTCACCTGTGCGTGCGCGCGCCCCGTACGTCAGATCCGAGGCGCACCGAGGAACGGATCCGCGCGCGTTACCGGAGTAATCCCGCGATTCCGAGCCTCAGAAGATCCGGGTCCTCGTCCCCGAGGGTCTGACGTCATGCTCCGGTAGGATCTGGATTATTGATGAGGATGATGATGGAGGATCTGCCGGACTTCAGAGACGTGGAGAACAAACTGGGCCGGAAAGTTCCGGAGAGTTTGATTCGTTCATTCGCGGGCGAACCGTTCAGAGGCTCGGAAACCCGCGAGCGAACCGATGATCTACAGACGCTCCACAACAACATCAGCTTCCTGCGACAACAGATGGTGAGTGGCGCGATCCAAAGAGTCGCTTGGACGGATTCAAAAGAGTCGCGTAGACCGATCCAAAGAGTCGTTTAGACCGATCCAAAGAGTCGCTTGGACGGATTCAAAAGAGTCGCGTAGACCGATCCAAAGAGTCGTTTAGACCGATCCAAAGAGTCGCTTGGACGGATTCAAAAGAGTCGTTTAGACCGATCCAAAGGAGTCGTTTGGACGGATCCAGCGACTCGCTGCGTTTGTTTCGCTCAGGTTGCTCTGTTTAAACTTCATACGCGCGTTCAGTATCATCACCAGACATGTATAACGCATTCATGTCTGTTTATAATCACACAGTACATCTGTATAATAACGAATTGAGGTTTTGAAGTCTGGTTTATGATTCACCTCACGGGTTAATGGGTTTATATTCACACGAACAGGTTTCAACGGAGTTCAGACACACTCGAAGTGACCCGAGCGCGCTGATCTGTGTGTGTGTGTGTGTGTATGTGAGTGAGAGAGTGTGTGTGTGTGTGAGTGAGAGAGTGTGTGTGAGTGAGTGTGTGTGAGTGTGAGTGAGTGAGTGAGTGTGTGTGTGTGAGTGAGTGTGTGTGTGTGAGTGTGTGTGTGAGTGAGTGTGAGTGTGTGTGTGTGTGTG